CTACTTTTTGAACTTTATCTCGGCTCTCAATCTACAGAAGAAGCTCGAACCTTGTGATATATATGACCAAAGAAAGATGCGTCTCGACAGCTTGAAGTTGGTTCAAGCGATCAAGACATGGGAATGTTGGACCTTGTAAAGAGCATCACATCAGTGAGGATCCTCTTGGGGAGGGACTGCCTGCAGAACCTACCCACTTATTGGAACGTCTAACATCAACTGAGGGTGGTGGTTGATAATGATAAGGAAGCATTCTATGACCTCTAACGATCCCTCAATCTTTGGCATGATTCTCAGTTAATAAGGTAATTCCGTAAGCTCTCAGTTGGACAGAATAGGGCATTAGGTTCGATGCTTGTCTGTGGGACCAAAACTAAAATCTTCGAATCACTTAAAGCATTCCTAAGAAGCGTAGCTTTTCAGCCATATACTTAGCAGCTGGGCCCATGCGGTTTTAGCTTTTTAATTAGAGGTATAAAAGAGAGGCTGTCGAAAATGCTCAATTTCGTCGACCTGACACTCCAGTTTGAGCACTTAAATATTAGTGGAAAGAGAAACTTGAAGAAAACTAAGAAGACTATCGTGTAGGGCAAGGAATTCTCTGCAAAACGGTATAAAACTCAATGGCAAAACTTTTCTTCTTCAGCGCGATATTTCAAGTGGGAAAAAACGCCATTACTTATGGGCCGACCCATTACTTGTGCATATTCGTAGCTCCATTGCTAATATCGTTGGATAGGTAGCGTCCTTTGGGAAAGATCGGCATCGGGACTGGCTTAGAACCAGGGAAGACTAATCGAAATTAGATAAAGTCGACGTATAGAGTATAGCTTAGCATGAGATCAAATCAGTTTTCGAACACTGCTTTGTTGGAGCGGAGCCGAGCAAATTGATGGCCAGCCAGTCGCTTCGCGATCCTCCGATCCATCCTTGCTTCTAGATCTACAGTCTAGTTCGCTGCGGATGATGGGCTTGTCAGGCTTCAGTGCGGCTCAGCCCGTTATATTTTTGATCCCGGCAAGCGACAACACCGTTTTATATAGTTCCTATGTCGATTTTCACTGGGGGATGGCGGGGCGCCAAACCCAGCCTGACATGTCACTTCATCGCTGCGAACAAGGCTGTACCCATTCCTCGCTCTGTCTTGAGCCGCGTTGCCTGTGTTGCGCAGTGACCTTTGATCGGTGATACTGCTAAAAAGACACATCAATACAGTGGTCATCTCTACGGGGGCTGGCTCATTTTGTACCTTCTGGCACTGATCCGACAGATTGCGACGATATCGATATGTCGAAACCAGGTAAGATTGCGGTTTTTGCAGCTAAAGTTCCTGACTGGAATCCATTATGTACGGTCAGCACACATATGTATGGCCCATTTCAATAAAATGGAAGAAATCTTTAATGTATCACAATTCAGATTGCGCTTTTGCGTTGATGATCTACTTTCGCATGTAGCTTCATTCCTTACTCTTGTCTTTGTCCGAAGACTGCTTGTTTCTGCCTAAAAAATGTCCATTTACTCGTGATAGGAGAAAAAAACACGCGTTTCTGGAGTGTATTTCAAACCAAGAAGGAATGCTCACAATCCAGTCGCATTAGCGCTGTACACTTAATACTCTCCATATCCCGAATGTGGAGAGGGTGTGGCTGCACACCTCTTTAAAATACAGCGCAGAATTTGGAACAGCTGTCATCCTGTCTGTTGCTGGATAGAGACATGTTGACTGTCGCAAAAAGAAAAGATTACAGCAGAACCGCAGCTGCTGCCGGATTTAATAGAAGCTCAATTGAAGTACGTAGCCACGCCCACTCCATCTCCTTGATATGAAGTGTAACTTCGCAACGATTGATGGCACTCTCGCAGAGGCATATCCCTTGATTCCATTCGTAGGTGGTGGGGTTGAAAAGCGACTGTCAGGGTGCTCTGCAGCCCAGCTGTGAAGAAAAGGGAAAGCAAACTGAAAATGAACCAAATAAGACCCCTCCTAATTTCAACCATGGCTTCATATAAGCATACGGTGAACCACACCAGTCCCAGAAAAGAGATACAATCGACGATACATTTACTACACTTGCGAGAGAAAGGGCGTGTAAGAGGGAGGGGTGGATTGCGCGCAACCAGGGCGACCTTTTCCACCAATGGAGGGCGCATGGGCTCGCAAACATTAGTGGAACTTTGGTCCGCGCCCTTTCGTCAGCAACGATAATTACTGTAGACGACTGGATACGCTGGGTCCTAGCTTAAGTGTCCCGACACGCCTTGCTTGAAAGTAATACCTAATGGAGATAGTTCATGAAAATAGCATTTGTACAAATAGAGTGCGCAGCCACGCCCTCCTCATCGCCGGGATAAGGAGTAAATGGTCAAGGAATACACAAGTGATTGAGGCCACCGCCATTGGGCTCCACCGCTATTCAGCGATGGTAAAACGAAATGGTCAGGGTGGAGAGCGACTATAAGGGCGGAGAGTACTTATTGTGGCAGAGCCGTGAGGTTCTTATCGAGCATTTAGGTGAGGCGAAAGTGGTACATCTCTTGCACTCGCGGAAAGCGTCACTGTAAGCTAGGTTCAGAGAAGTATGTGCAGGGTTACGTATTTGCGTTTCGAGTATAAAGGGAACTGTGAACCTTGTCAAGTTGCCTTTCGATGGAGGGAGGGGCGATCCTTCTCCTTTTTTTGACTAATTATAGGATTCATCTGTCTACAGGTGGAGTGGGTTTTTCCAGTGGCTTCTGTGCCGCCTCTAGAGGAGAAACCAGCTAGATTACTGAAAGATTCACCCTCATCCTTGGATTTGTTAGGTTCATCTTTGGATTTACCGTCCTCTTCACCTTTGCTCTCTTTCTTCTTCTCCTCACTTTCCTAAAATGACCTTTACGTTCTCAACTGTTTACTTATGAATCGTTTGTGAATACGCGAAACAAATGGGGAGAAAGTTCAAGTGCCTGCACATACAGAGGAATGTTCCCTTGGTCTAACCATATCTGAGCCATCAAACATCACCGCATATGTGTGAATAGACATGATTCCTGTCAGTCCTGAAAGCTTACTCAGTCATAATATTAATAGATATGTAAAAATCAGCGCGCAGTTCGGTCTGGGGGGGGAATTGTATCCAGCGACGCTTACAGGTCCTGACCTGAAAAGTCCTGTGAGACTGCGTTCAGATTTCGCGATGACGAGTATTTACGCATTAAAACGCCCGCCATCGCGTCACTGTTGCAAAAGCGCTCTGATACTGCGGGCGGGGGGACACAGCCATAGACGGGTATCGATCGGCACTGGCCGCTAGTATTTGTGCGTCTCGCTGCGACACGCATCGACGCGCGTCAGCGAGAAGTTCGGGGCCTAATGAGAGTGGCTTACTTGAAGCATTTCGCAGCTCCCACACGAGTTTTTAATTTCAACTTGGGAAGACCTTTAATTCGTTGTGAACTAGCGAGGAGAACTTGGGAAAGTGTAAAATACCCCCCCCCCTTCCTCCTCCCCCTCCTGGGTTGAACAGCGCTAAAACTAGATTCTCCTACGGAGTCAACGAATAATGTGTGATTTTTTTCATGAGTCCAGTAGACGCACGAGAATACTGGCAAACGCTAGAGTGATTAAGAGGACGATAGGCATAACATAAAAACGGGGGCGGTTGTTTGACTGGGAGGGGTAATTTTGCGATTACGCTCTTTCCTTTGCTAGGGGATCCTGTACTGTTCACGACATGGTGTGACCTGTAGACTGGTGCCAAGTGTTAAACGAGCCCCTGCTATTGAACAGCTTTATAGGACTTTCTAGGACTACAGTATGTATCGGCAGTGCTCGACGGGAATTATCAAAATGCTCCAACCCGGCTGAACTGCCTCAAAACGGATCATTCTCAGTAGTACAAAGCAGTGGAAATGAACCAAGCACAGTCATTTGTTGAAGTATAGGATGCTGTCCACTTGGGTGTTGGGGCACAACAAATGACTGGCACTTTTGTGAAATGGTGTCACTTAAAAAAATGAGAATTCTCGCTCTCCTCAGGAAGGCTAATTGTAAGGACGGAGGAGCTCCGTAGTTGGTGAACCAACTCATTTGAGTGAGAACTGCAGTCCAATTCCGCGCAAGGAGTCCTCCACCACGCCTAACCACTCACCCCTCAACCCACCAGGAAGAGCAGTGCCAGAGCTCACTTATGGTTAGCACGAGGGAGAACTACTGAACTATCAGCCACTCCAGAATTTCATGCACTCACCACATGCTATCCATAAACCTTGAAAATACGGTGGTTTGGCTTTGCAGAAACGTCTCGATGGACTCAAGCTGGCTGTTAGTTGAGTGCACGGAGGAGAATAAAATCGGAGGGCGCTCTGAAACGCTTCGATTAGGGTGGTAGTGAAAGTCTTCGAATAAGTGCTACACCGACTCATAGGATAAAGTTCGCTGTACTTACTGATTCACTGTGGTCACTGAAGCTCAGAAATACGGACATCAAGACCCTTCTTTAGTTGGCAAAAATGTGGATGGACAGTCTAGTTGGCCTTTTCTAAAGGTTTTCCTCTGCTATTTATCCATCAGGGCCGTAAGAAGGTGAATGCAGGATCGGCGCAGTTTATCGACGGGGGGGGCATTTTGCTTTCCATAGATGTGTCGACCCATCTAGGTAGCGTTTTCTCGAGTTGACACGTTTTGGGATGGTGGCTAGACGATCCTGCTCCAGCTTTACAAGAGTTCACAAGTTTTACCAAAGTGAGATTTGCAAACCGGAACAAGGGAAGCAGTGATAGTACAAAATGCCCCCCCCCCCCGTCGATAAACAGCGCCTGCAGGATCCTTTCCCATGTCAAATCCATGCAGTAAGGGAAATTTCAATACAAGCTTTAGTTCCCCGAATTCGAATGAGAAAGCATGTCGCTGTTAGTGTCAGCCAGTAGGTAAAGAGACCGTAATTCCATAGAGTACACTGGCACTGATAAAGCGCAAGTGCGCGGTTCAGTCAGGCTTCACCATCCTTTGTGTAAACACAATTGGTCGTATTTGGCCGCTAGAGGGGGGGGGTATCGTATTTAATTGTGAGAAGAGCGTTCTCCTTGTTGATTCTTCCCATTTCACGTCTCCTATATGAACTTTACCTTCTCACCCCTCCATCCCCGGTTGACGACGCCGAAAAATGATTCTTATTTGATGCGGATGCTGGGGCGTGTCAGGGGGACTGGATTGCTCGCTCCCCGCCAATTGGTTCAGATCGGGCCTGCGCCGCGCCAAACCCAGGCCTCTAGCACGCCCCATCTTCCCCACCGAACAAGACTACTAATTGCGATGAACACCAAAATTTTGGGAAGTATTGGACAGTGGGGAAAGCTGTAGGTAGTGTGGGGAAGGGGGTCGTACCAGAAGGCGAATTTAGTGGGCGGTCGTATTTTACTATAATTTTTCACAGCTGGTGGTGTGTTGTGATCCTCCCAAAAGATAATGACGTGTTACTGACGTCACATAATACGTTGGTGACGTGTCTCGAGACGTGACTGACAACGATACAATACAACTTGCCCCTCAGCTGAGGTGCTGTAGGAATTCCATCTTCTTAACTTAATAAGTGACGTACCCGTGCTACACCTCAGCCAAACAAGTGGTAAGGGTCAGTTCATCACTAGGAAAACTATGAGTGCTATTCGATGCATCTTGAACATTTTAATTACTTACTTCAACCTGATTTGTGGCCTGACTGCTGAAGACTAAAGACCCTGGGTTACTTGGTTGCGGTTTTTGCTGTTGATCCGGTGTTGGTGACGGTGACGACGAAAGGGGCTGAAAATTATGCTGTTGAAGTTGGCTCTTACGGTCAAAGACTACTGAGTGTGAGCCAAGCGTTCGAAACCAAAAGCCCAAGAGAGAGAAGGAAAGCCCTGGAAAGCCTATGAGCAAGTCATGGCCTTCAAAGATCATTTATTTAGTCATTCCACCCCCAACGCTGAAGATGAAGCTATATGAATGTCCTCGGCAGATGACCCGGAC